TTTTAATTATATATAATAAATATTTCGTCTGAATATTTTACCAATTAAAATATTAATTTATCGTAAATTTTAGTCATATTTTAACTTATGTTAGAATAAAATATTAATTATTTATAAATAAAAAAACTCATGAATAAGACGGAGTGATATAATATAATATTATAAACATGTTTAAATACAAATTTAAAATATCTTTTAAGATTTTTTTAATTCTAAAATACTCTTTATTTAAAACTCATGTACTCAGTCCAAAGGAGCTCTATATTAAAAGTGTTCACATGTGTTAAAAATGCTACAAAGAAGTGGATAGAGAAATCTGCTGTCATGATTTTCGTGGTTTTGGGTGTTTCTACGTGAGATTCCTTTTGTTGTTTTACAACAAGATCGTATAAAATATTTTACAATTATAAAAGAAATAATTATTTATTAAAAAACAATATTATAAGAATTTATATGAATTATATATTTTTCTTATTTTAATTTTATCCGTGTTTTGTCAGACAGTGTGTTGTCTCTTGTGTGTCATGTGGATTTTCGTGAAATAATTTATTCATTTTTCTTTTTCTCAACGTGTCGCTTAAGCTGAAATAATCAGGTAAAAACAAAAAAAAAAAAAAAATCGATTCTTCTTGGCTTAAGAAGGAAGAAGAGTCTCTCAAGCAAGCAGGAACATGTCTGAATCTCCTTAAAACACCAAAATTTCAGAAAAAAAAAACAGATTTTCATGCCACTTCCTTCGCTGAATTAAAAAACGGTACGTTTTTTAGAATTTTGTATACAAAATTATGGTTGTTCGAATTAATTAAGTATAAAAAGTAAAATACTAAAAATTTAACCAATTTTGTACTTTCTTCTATGAGTAATGTATCCTTGTCACACAAAATTGGTTATATTTCTGAAAGGATTGTATAAACAGTTAAAATCATTACTTGCTCTGTTTGGTAGAAGAAACTATTCAATTTTGACTTCCAAACTATGATTTTCACCTTTGCTCCTATCCTCCTTTCTTTATGATGATCACATAGAATTTTTAACCGAATCATTTGTTGGCTGGCTAATGCAGAATTCAGTTTTTGTTATGGAAATTCTCGCATGTGGATCTGGACCATGCAGTCAAGTAGTGGATACGAAGTGGAAATTCGTTGACAAAACCTTGAATTCACGTCAAACAAGGTTTCCCTCGGTTGGAAATCGTGGAGTTTCTTATACAAACACCAATTCTAGAAGCGGGTCAGTGAGATTTCATGATAATAAGGAGCAGCAAAGAGATTTAGCGTCTTTGAGTAGTCTTGGAGGGTCCAAAAGAATCAATTGCAAGGTCTATAGTGAAAGTTATGAAGGCTATGTGATTGGTGGTGAAGAGGATGTAACAGATATTTCAGATGCTACTAACATTGTGGTTCCAGGTGTACCTGATGGGTCCAATGGTGAATCTGGTGCTCCAATAAGTAGTTGCTTTTGGGAATGGAAGCCTAAACTTAACGTGCACTATGAGAAGGCAGGGTGTGAGAACGTGGATTCCCCAAATGTTCTCTTTCTTCCTGGTTTTGGTGTTGGCTCTTTCCATTATGAAAAGCAAATGAAAGATTTGGGTCGTGACACCAGAGTATGGGCACTGGATTTTCTAGGCCAAGGATTGTCCTTGCCCTTTGAAGATCCGGCTCCTCACTATAAGGAAAGGGCTACATCAAATGCAAATGCTTCTTCTTCTTCTTCATGGGGATTCGGAGATGAAACGGAACCATGGGCCACTAAGCTTGTGTACTCTATTGATTTATGGCAAGAACAAGTTCGATACTTCATAGAAGAGGTAAGTGATGTGCTGTTTGATAGCAACCAAGTGGTTTTTCATTTCAGTTAATGTGTACTCAAACTAAATGTTGAAAAATGCTTTTCCTTCTCCATTTGAGAGGATGAGTGAGTTGGTTTTGTGTACCCAGAACATGACCATGTTTTTGGATAGCTGGATGGGACAAAACTTAGATATAGTCAATGTTGTTAGAGGCGCTTTTCAATTAGAATCGAAGTTTCATTTCAGTAGTATGTGTAATAAAGGATTTTATTAATTGTCAACTTGTATTACTAAAATAAAACTTCAATTTTGATCAGAGATTATATTAAGGTACCTGTGATACTACACTTAGTTTTGTCCAATATGATATTGACCCTCGATTAAAGTAATGACACAACTTGGTTTTCTGTAGGTCATCGGTGAACCAGTCTACGTTGTGGGGAACTCACTAGGAGGATATGTTGCAATGTATTTTGCAGCACTTAACCCTCATTTAGTGAAAGGTGTCACACTGCTTAATGCAACACCTTTTTGGGGGTTTCTTCCTAATCCTATAAAGAATCCAGGCCTAGCCAAATTGTTTCCATGGGCTGGAACATTTCCTCTACCTGCTAATGTAAGGAGGTTGACAGAGTTGGTGTAAGTATCACTTTGTTTTATTCATTACTACATTTATGCGTTTTAGTTTAGGCAGACATGTTTATTCCACTTATGAATTGCTATGGCACATTTCATTTATGTAACACACTATCACATCCACATGTGAGTGATATTAGAATAAGAAACTGTTGTTAATGGACCAAGTGTTCTATTTATGAAGAGGAAACTTAGAACTGCTTCACTAGAAGAATTGTGTTGTTGTAAATTATGATAAAAGCCCTGTTAATGCATTTTGAGAAAGTAACCTTTTTAACTACTTTCAACATTAGACTGTGTTCTGATTAAGAATGTTTCTTTCCCCTTTAGGTGGGAGAAAATCAGCGATCCTACAAGTATTGCGGAGGTACTTAATCAGGTTTATGCAGAGCGTTCAACAAATGTAGAGAGTGTATTTTCACGCATAATTGAAACCACAAGGCATCCTGCAGCAGCAGCAGCATTTGCTTCAATTATGTTTGCTCCCCAGGCAGAATTATCATTCAGTGAAGCGTTATCTAGGTAGACAGTACTAACTGCTATTTGATTTGTATGAAATCTATATTTGTGGTTCCAAGTAAAGGATTTTCAGTTTATTTGCATTTTAGATGTCGAAAAAACAATGTGCCAATCTGCCTCATGTATGGAAAAGAAGATCCTTGGGTGAAGCCACTTTGGGGACTCCAGGTTAAAAGGCAGGTCCCTGAAGCTCCATATTATCAAATCAGCCCTGCTGGTCACTGTCCTCATGATGAAGTCCCTGAGGTATACAATAATATAATTTTCTATTCGAGGAATGTTAGCGACACACTTTCAAACACTTTTCCTCACACTTTCTTTAGGACTGAAATTTATTGAAATAACAAATCTATCGGATCTCACATCTCACATAACGAGCCTATCTTGTGATTTAATAGTAGACTTCATTAAAATCTATGATTTTCAACTAATAATAGAAAGTGTATTAGTATGAAAGTGTCACTAGCAGCTTTTTTTGTCACTAATTAGCTTCGAAGTGTTCTTTGTAGCCCCTTCTTTTCACTATGCAAAATCAGCCTCTAGTACTGATTTGATGAGGAATGCGCTTTTCAATTTCCATTTTACATGACTGGTTTATCTGTAGTTAATACATGAAAATAGTTCACACAACAAGTAATATCATTATTGGCAGGTCATAAATTTCTTGCTACGTGGGTGGATCAGAAATCTAGAGTCTCAGGGTTCGATCTCTTTGCCACTGCTTGATGAGCTAGAGTGTGTTCAACACGCTAATGGCAGGGAGTTAGAATTTATGAGAGAAGGTTCAAGAAAATTAGTGACGGTGAGATTTTTCAGCTCAAGATTTTCGCTTTGGGACAGTATAAGATCTTACATCAAGCCTCGCTCCAAGTTAAGAAATTCGGCCACCAATTCTCAATGACACGATGATCTATATACGCTATCACACTATAGTAACCTCTTCGATTTAGTTTGTATAGACAGAAATCATGTAAATAATAATTATTTTTTGATTGATCCATGTACAATAATTATTAGTTGCCCTTGTCGTGTGCTTAGCAAATAGCAACCATAACACAATTGTACAGATCAGCATGTCAAATAATCTTTCCCTGAACGCATAAATATCTAGAAAGCGACGATGATAGATAGACGAGTTTAAGTGGCACGCAACCGTAACAGCAGTAATGATGAGGGTGACAGTAGCTATAGTGATAGTGATGTTGCAAGGTGTTGGTTTGGATTGTGGTTTTACAACATACAAGATAGTGACGTAGTAAGTGTGGTATATTTTATTTTTAAAAGTAACATACAAAATTATTCTTTTGTTCACTATTTAACACTTTTTTTTTTCTTCTTTTCTGGTGCTTCGTTCCCTCTTTGTTATGTTTCATGATTATTTTTATAATTTAATAAAAATAATAATTTTTATATGATATATAT